CTACAGACGATTAGAGAACAAGTGAAGCCCTGGGACTAAGCCTTGGAGAGGGAAGACATCTGCGAGAAAAACGCAGGCAGAAGCGTCAAACTGAGGCGATATAACGGAGAGAGGTCAAGGCATCCGTCGACCAGGTCCATGCCCATAACACGTCCCTGTTCCCATTGTGCGAGGATCCGTCAGCTCATGTGTACTCTGTACATTTTGGCTCATGATCCCTACTTGCTGTCCTTGAGCCGACCTCTCAAGTTGTCCGGTCCCTGGTCCATTGATGTCCCTTAATCAGAACCCTCTACTATGTTACTGTGTGTGGACGAAGTTAGTGATAGTGTTTTAGCGCAGTACTTTGGAGCCGATCGTGGCTAATCCTCGTTATGCAGATGTCGATCACCTGTTTTGCTCAACAAATGATGAAGATTTTGATATGAACGAAATGGTAGGAGAAATGCAAGGACTTGTCAAGTGAAAACAATTCAAAACCGATAAGTTACAGGGGATTTCGCGGTCTAGTTTCTCGGAATGGTATTCCATGTGGATCACACACTTGCTTGAACAAGAGATCAGAACGAAATGCTGATGAGGAATTGTGAGTTGCGTAGCAGTTTTGCTGTTTTTCCATGTCACGATATTTTTATGCTTGAAGAAATGCGGAATACGTCACTTGTCTCTGCTTTGTTCTGTCACTTCTTGGTCGTCGAGCTCTCGGTGCAGCATCTTATAATCGCCATTCGAATGCTGCCGAATCGTTCCTTTGTGGTCTACATGCATTGTTTAAGGGAGATTTTAGGTTCGTTTAGTCGATTCTGTGGTTCCATTACTGATGAAAGGTTGAAGAGAAGCAAGTAGTCACTCGGAGTTTATTTCTTGAATATTTTTTTGATTAATTGACCGGAATCTGTTTGTATAGGATTACATGTCAACGCGATGAATGGGTATTTGCCGACATGGATTTGCTGAGATGTGTGATTTCGCCGGCTGTCAAAATGGCACTCAAATTGCATCAGGTGAAACTTCTTTTTGATTATGCCTTTCTACAGTCGACAACAGTTATACCTTTGTAATCCACGTACAGACGGCGACGGCTATGCGGTTCGCGCGCTCCGTGCTGAGCAGTGGAATGGGTGTCTGTTGCACCTGCCTAACCATAAGAGTCTTGCGGGAGGTTACGCATAGCCAGAGTAAAGCATAAATCCGCGTGAGAGGGATGCTATTGAGTTTATCTCAGAAGGTATCGGACTAGTGACCCCGGAGAAGGGTTTGTCGCTATGACCCAAGATTTATTTCAAAAACTCGGATTTTAAGAATTTTGCAAATTCGGGATTCTAAAGAAATTTAGGAATCTCCCGTTCCAATGTATGCACCTACCCGTTCACCTCTTTTAATAACTTTT